TGTGAAATCAATATTTATTTATAGAAGTATAATAAATAAAGGTATGTGTGTCTTCATTTATATCCCTGGTTTGTTATCTTTACGAGGTTATTTATTTTAGGAAGTTATTATAAAATAATTCTTACATTTATGATTTTTAAGAAAATTTAGAGAAAATTCGGGTTAATTTTTTTTTCATTAATTAGTCCGATTACCTTATCATTTTTACCTTGTAAATTAATCTTAAACCTTTGATGAATCAACAGGGAGAAATGTAAATATTTGACATTATATGGTCAATTGTAAAAATTGACATGAAATTTAATGTGAATTCATGAAAAATCAGATTTTTTTTCGAAAATTCGAGGAAATTCGGATTAAGTATATTTGTCGAATATCGATGATTTCATGTTTTCTTTTCACCAACTCAATTCATGTTAGTGATCAATAATGAGTTACAACTTTAATTTTAGTAAGCAAGGTATTTTTTCTGACTCCAAAATTTATTCCTCTGCCAAAATTTCAATACTTTTCTGTGTAAAAGTACTATTTTTAGGACTGACTTTCAAATGACCTTGACTGAAAATCAAGGCCGATTTAACCGAAGTGTTTCGATGTTAAAAAAGAAAACACAGTCTGAATAATAAGTATTCAGAAAATCAAGATTCTGCAATTATAAGAAATATGAGAAGAATCCATCCTTAAGTCACGGAGCAGCAAAATCTTCGACGTCAGACGTATTATAAAAATATGTGATTGAGCTTTCATTTTCTCAACATTTTCCCAAGAGTATCTGTACAGTTTGAGTTACCTTATCTACTCAACATCCAAACACCATTTCTTGTTAAGGTTAAACATCTATTAAACAAGCAAAGAATATTCTTTTTTTGTTTTAAAACCAAAAACTGCAGGTATTTATGAGATATAGTGTGATAATTGGTGATTCTCATTCACGTTCTTTACAGTTCGGATAAAGTTTTTTAGTTAATAATCTTCTTCCCGTCCTCCCGTATAGCCTTTATACAGAGGTCTAACGGTCTAAAATATCAATATGCTTTTTGTGGACGAATGTCAGGAATACCCTAGTTTACTACATGTTTTATTATGCATATTTTGGATCTATGTTGGCGATATCTCGAGCATTACATATAACTTAACAAAAATTTGGTGCTCCGTCAATTCAGGAGACATTTTCACAGTCGTTTTCACGGGAATCGCATCAGAGAAAAATCACTATATTTCTCTTAGTACTTCAAATATCAGGTCAGAAATCTAAATGCATAATAATAGAACAATTTAAAGATACATTTGAGAAAATTGTCGAAAAATATCCGAATTATAGAAAATTAATGAATAAAATTTTGGATTCCGCATGCTTTTGCTTCAAATTTTTTGTCATGCTCCGTACCTCTCCATCAGCGATATCAACATACCAAAAATTTTCATAGATATTTTTTTTAAATACAGAAATTTTGTCCAAAATTTCTTTGAATCGTTAACATACGTATTTCTGTGAAATTTCATAACTATATGACGTCTGTAAGAATAAATAATAGCACAGTCCGCGTAATTTTTTTGAACGGCCCTCGTAGATGTCCATAACTGTTAGTCATGAGAATTCCTGTCTTCAATTTATAGCCGATATCGTCTACAATGTTAAATTCATGCGTTTTTTCATCCACACTGGCATACACAGAACCATTGAAATCCCAGGCTGATGTAATTGCTGTATGTTCAATGCGATAGTTATTTTTTCCTGTCATGTCATCGATCTCCTAACCTTACATTGCCTTCCGATTCTTTGACTTTTGACCTTCGTTGCATGAATTTCACTTTTTGTCTAATTCTATTACAGTCCCTGAAACGTTCTACTTTCCCATTTTTCCGTTCGCTCACCGTTCGTTCAGCGTCAGATCACCGTTCCTTCAGCGTGCGTTCATCGTTTGCTCTCCGTTCACAGTTTTGCGTTCACCGTTCAAAAAAAGTTCACCGTTCCCTCTTCGTTCCGTTTAATTTGCGTTCACCGTTCACTTATCGTTCAGTCTTTATTGTCATTCGGAACTTCGAAGTGAAAGGACTTATCTTTTTGATGGTAAGGATTTACACGTTTTTTAATTAAATAACTAAGATATCGTGTTTGAAGAAAAATTATTTCAATGCAAAAAGTATTTAAGATATTTATATTTCTATTATTAAAACTTAGCTGTTACTTTATCCATAAAATTTCCCTGGAAAATTATACATTAAGAACCTACATGAAGTAGAAAGATTTAATAAAATATTAAATTTAAATAAGGGCAAATACTTCAAGCGCGGCATTTTGTTGTAATATAAAAGACGAGAAATCGTTAATGGATAGATAATATACTCACCGTCAATGGAAACGCAACACCCTAATTTTAGGATGAAAATTATATACAGGTTATAACTATGTACCAAAAAAGTTAGGACATCTTTTACTTTGCCAAATCAGTTATTTAACGGTTGAATGAATTTGTTTCCATTACCGGAAGTTGCTTTTCAGCCCTCTTAATAGAATTCAAAATTTTTCATTTTTAATAAAATTTTAACAATATTTTGGGTTTCCAGGGTTTTGAAACTGTTAATCATAAGTATTGTTCTAAAAGGCCGGGAAAATATCCTTCTTTCTTTACCAGATGTGCTGCCTATATTTCCTCAAAATGACTGCTTTTCATTGCTAATGCTAGAAATTCTCAAAATAAAGAAAAAAAGAGCTGCAGATGCAAATATACATTATATAACGACCCATCAGGTTCATGTGTGTCAATAGCATAAATGGCAGTTTCTTGACCGGAAGTCAAAAAGTTGCTACACTACGCCAGGTTAGAAAAAATTCGACCGCAATATCTGAAAAACATGGATTTAAAAATGCCCAAGAATATTAATTTCGTTTAGATTAAGACATCAATAAACTTAGTGCATGGTGGAAATCGCGCTGCATTTGTTGTATATGGCGGACTAGTACGTTTTCAATAAATGGTCGGAAGGGGTGATGTTTTAAGATTTAACGGGTATTTGTTTCTTTCTAAGGTCTAAAAATAACATTTAATGTTTAAATGGAGCATTATTTTTTTTTTTTTTTTTTTGTAAATTTACTTTTTACCCAAATATATTCATTTTTGATGTTATCATTAAACTTTTGAAGGTAACACATAACTCTTAAAACATCCCCCCTTCTTGCTATCAGTCATTTTGAGGAAATATAGGCAGCACATCCGGTAAAGAAAGAGGGAGTTTTTCCCGGCCTTTTAGTACAATACTTATGACTAACAGTTTCAAAACCTTGGAATCAAAAAATATTGTTAAAATTTTATTAAAAATGGAAAATTTTGAATTCTGTTAAGAGGGCTAAAGAGCAACTTCCGGTAATGGAAAGAAATTCATTCAACCGTTAAATAACTGATTTGGCAAAGTAAAAGATGTCCTAATTTTCTTTTGGTACATAGTTATACCCTGTATATAATTTTCATCCTAAAATTGGGGTGTTGCGTTTCTAATGACGGTGAGTATAATTCAAGTCTTTCACAAAACAAGAATACACAAAAAATTATTTCTAACACGTATTTAAAGAAAAGATGCATGAAAACAATTTAGAACTACATATAGGTCTGAGAATTATGAATAGTACTGCAGATATTCACTTAATTAAATATTTGTAGAGCAAATTAAATTGATAGTGTGATCTTAAATTTTAGAAAAGACCAACTGTTTAAAATGTAATACATTAGAATTTTTGTTCTTCTTCACGTTTATAAATTGTATTATTAGAAAGGAAAAAAAAAACCTTCATTTACCGTAACTAAATATATGTTTGCCATTCAGTATTATTAAGAGCCACCCCCACCCCCACCCCCCGGCGCCTTTTCTCCCGGAATCAAATATTCTTACATGTAGTTAGTATTTTCAGTATATATCTATTAATATTCAATGTGTATTGTAACACAAAAAAATCATTCTTAAAACAAACATCAACATGTCATTATATACATACATATGCCGACAGTGGTATTTTGATTTGGCAGGGATTATGTTTCAATTTTAATTTCAAACTTAATCCTTCCAGGTATATACATGTATAACCATTATTCATTTTTTCCTTAGAAAAAGCGAAAATCAAATGTAGAAATAATGTAAAAATGTTAAAACTTTTTGGAAATACTAATTGACTCTTTGACTTCGGTATGTTCGGAGAAGCGAGATTTTCACATCTCTTGTGTCAAATTATTTTGATTGACAGGACAGGTACGTGCACTTCGAGTGAACCGTGTGAACTTGACGAAGGAAAATAAAAGTCGATGCTTACTGTCAAATGGGTTTGTTAATCTTCAAAAAAAAAATTGATTACTTTAAAATCTCTCTGAATCCTTTTTTGAAAAAAAAGCTTGGCCTTTCATTTGAAAAGTTCACTTTATCCTTCAGCTGATGTAATTAATGAAAATAAAATACAATTGTTTCTTTTGACTTTGATTCCAAGAATTAAGACGACAAACAATTCTTATGTTGTTAAATATACACCCTCTCAACACATGTCATCTCTTTATTGCAGTACCGTACAAACTCACTAGGACAATAAACAGTGCACTCAAGTTTTTATGAGATTTGTTAACTGTTTTAAATGTTGGTTTTTTTTTTTTGGGGGGGGGGGGGTCAAGAAAGGAATTTTTGGATCAAGGAGGGATACAGTAGAACATATCTGAAAGGAATCAAGTGTTTGTCTTCAGATTTCAGAGGTCTCCTATAAAGCTTAACTAATTTTACAATTTATAATTTGAAGAACCACAAAATAATCACGAATTATCAGGCTTGCATAAAAGAATCGTTTTCCTTTCTTCCCCAAAATAACTTGACTAAAATCGTACCTGTTAATTGCATCTATCTTACACTCAAAAAGCTCCAAATCGTACCTCCTTAGCCATAGTTTACTATTTTTACATGTAAATAAAATGAATACGGTAAAATATATTTTAAACAACTAAAGTGCTTTCTTGCTTATACATGTACATGTTTTTGATAAGGATAATATGGAGAAAAGAAATTCATTATGTCATGATGACATCAAAATTAACATTCCTTAGTTTGTTTACAGATTTGTCAGCAATTACACTAATCCTTCTTTACTTTTCTTGCAGACATAATCAAACTTATGACTACATGGATAATCATGCCACTGCCAATTGCTATCTTTCAAAGCTACTGCACAGTTTTCATTTCTTCCTCCTTGTGGTTGACCTTTGACCCAATCGCCATTGGTCACTCTGGATCCCGTAGACTCATAGACATAGACTCCTTCTTTCAGATTATCTGTCACGCCAATCCACATGAAGGTAAAAACTAAAAGCCAAACAAATTATAAGGAATTTTAATTCTTCTTTTCTGTTATGTATAACTTAATTCCATTGCTTTCGATGATGTACATTTACTTTTCTCTTCGGGACAGATGATATTAACAAAAATATGGATGACTGGATTGGTACAAGTATCAATAGAAAATTTTACATGTTTGGTAATAAACGATTTTCAGAAGATTTTCCATTCAAATTTAATTAAATTATAAACTTTCTAAGATTTTTAACATTGTACTACTTTTCTGATACCATCCTTTTTAATCGTTGTAATATTTTGTCACTTAAAATCCAAATAATTTAACACTTCGAAAGAAAAAATAAATATCGAAGCGGTAAAATCATTACACTTCACTTTTATTCATTAGACTTAATTTCTTATTTGTAGTTTTGATGAAATTTTGTTTAATCATCTGTCCTTAAGTCAGATAATTCATGGTGTAAAGATAACGTAGTGTTATAAAGAATTAGAGAGAGAAATGCTGACCTCTCGACTTTGTAAAAGACTTTTCCTCTGGGCTTAAATCTTCAAGGATGTAAGCGCTGTCTCTAGCACAAACATGCTTTGAATAAACATTTGAAACTGTGTTAACCATCGAATCAATATAGAATGTAATACAAGATTTCAAATGATTTTTAAATATTAGTTTTATTTTACTCACTTGTGCTTCACTAAATGTTGCAGTGGCATTAGAAAATAAATAGCAGTTATTTTCTAGAGGAAACCAATAATCGGGGCAACCTATTCAGTGTACAAAAATAGAACATTGCATTTTGTTAGTCTCGACAAATTATTTTTTAAAGATGCAATTAATAATCAGTATATTTGAACTAAAATGCCCCCGTTAGGTGTGTTATTACAAGGTGTTATTAACAAAAAATGCTAGACTATAAATGTAAATAAATACTATAATTGATTTTTATTAATTAATAATATAATCTTATTTAACCCGCGTACAATGTATGCTTTTGCATTAAAATTTATTCTGACAATTAACAGATTATTTTCTATCTAAATTGTAAAATCACGGAAAAGCTGGTATTATTGAAAGATATGTGAACCTGACAAATTAACATTAGAAAATACATGTATCAACAGATACAGTCCCTTGAACGTTCTACTTTTCCATTTTCCGTTCGCTTGCCGTTCGTTTACAGTTCGTTCAGCGTACGTTTATCGTTCGCTCTCCGTTCACAGTTTTGCGTTCACCGTGCGCTCGCGTTCACCGTTCACAAAACGTTCACCGTTCGCTCTTCGTTCCGTTTACTTTGCGTTCACCTTGCGTTACCGTTCACTTAACGTTCAGTTTTCATGGTCATTCGGAACTCCGAAGTGAAGGAACTTATCTTTTTGATTGTAAGGATTTACACGTTTTTTAATTAAATAACTAAGATATAGTGTTTGAAGAAAATCTTTTTCATTGCAAAAATTATCAACAATATTTATATTTTTATTTTTATAACTTAGCTGTTACTTTATCCATGAAATTTCCCTGGAAAATAATACATTAAGTAGCTACATGTATGTAGAGCGGTGCTAAAATATTAAATTTAAATAAGGGCAATGTACAAATGCTTCACGCACGGCGACATTTTGTTGTAATGTGAAAGACGACAAATCATTAAGGGATGGATAATAACAAGTCTCTATTTAAAAAAAATTGTATGTATTTAAAAAAAATGCACGAAAACATATTAGAACTAGACGTAGGTCTGACAATTATGAACAAAACTGCAGATATTCTGTTAATTAAATATCTCTAGAGCTTATTAAATTAATAGCGTGATTCTAAATTTTAGAAAAAAAAACTGTTTAAAATGTAATACATTAGGATTTTTTGTACATTACGTTAGGTCTGTTATTAGAGAAGGAAAATTCCTTCATTCACCGTACCTAAATATTTGCTTGCCATTCAGTATATTTAATAGCCCCCCCCCCCCCAACCCCCACCCCTCACCCGGGCATCTTTTCTCCCGAAATCAAATTCTTAGTTAGTATATCCAGTATATTTTAATTGATATTTAATGTGTATTGTAACACAAGAAAATCAGTCTTAAAACGAACATTAAACAGTCATTAAACAATAGTATTTCAAAATATACATGCACCGACAGTAGTATTTTAAGTTGGCTGGAAATATGTTTCTAATTCAATTTCAAACTTAATCCTTTCAAGTATATGATCCCGTTATTTTTTTCTACAGGAATGCAAAAATCATAGAAATGATAGGGAAATATATTAAAACTTCCTGGAAATACAATGTTACTCTTTTCCTTCGGCATGTTCGGTGAAAAGAGATTGCCAAACCTTCACTGTGTCGAATGATTTTGATTGACAGGACAAGCACTTGGACTTCTTGTGAACCGTGTGAAGTTAAAGATGGAAAATAAAGTCAGATGATAACTTTCAAATGGATTTGTTAATCTAATAAAATTTGATTACTTTAACTGCCACTACAGGCTTTTAAAACCCCTGTCCGTATGAACATCCCCTGTCTTTCTCTGTATCCTACAGCATTTTCACAGTACTCTACGGTATATCTACAGTATTGTACGGTATGCCAGCTCTGTATATAGAGTAAATCTCTGTATGCCACTGTATGTATCCCCAGCATGCCACAGTTACATACAGTAGGCCCTAGTACGCCTACAGTGTGTAACTGTATGGCTACTGTTTCCTACCGACAACCACGGTAAACTCCAATATATGCCACAGTACGCCCCTCTACATGTTCATTGAAGCAAAAAGAAGAAGTATACTCACACTCAGAGCACTGTACAGATTTTTTTGATTTGTAAGGAGGATTTTTTAGTACCTTTATAACTCTATAATAACTCTGAAAAATTGATAAACCATTGTTTCAAAAAATATCTCTCTATCATTTTTTTCATAAATTGTTTAATTATATTTTAATTAATTAATAGATTTATTTCTTTATTATTATTTGTTTTGCAAACACCTGTTTAATCCATATAATACTTGAAATGACTTTTTTTTAGTTTCTAAAATTGATTCATTTTCTTTTATATTTTTCCTTATTTTTAAATTGAATATGCAAAAAATTTAACTGTACACCCGAAAGTTGGATTTATTTGGCTAATCTTTTTTAAACAATTTTAAGCTAAAATGTGTCTCATAGTCTTTTTGAAGCATATTTAATCTACTTATAATTATTTTAATTCCGTGATGGATATTAAAATAATCTTTTTATTATGCACAATCTTAAAAAAAAAACACACACACAACCACACACACACACACACACCAACATAGCAATGGTAATGCTTTTTTTTAGAAAAAAAAGTTTTTAAAATAAATTCAATAATCAATTTTTTTTAAATGCTAATAAATAAATAAATAAAACTGATTAATTGCACGTATGTAGTCATTGTAAAAAAAATCAAAATACTTATTTTTAATATTGAAAATACAAACAAATTAATTAATTATAATCCCGAAAGTTGGATTTATTGGCTTACAAATGTATTTAATGTAAACAATTTGACTCTAAAATGTGTCTCAAATTTTTTTTGAAGTATATTTAAACTACTTTAAATTATTTTACCTCCGTGATGGATATGAAAATACTTGTGTCATTATGCACAATCTTAACCCGTCAATAGCTTTTTTGATACTTTTATTTTGTTTTGATTGACAAAATTCGGTTCTCATACAAGGAGAAACTGTTATTTCAAACAGCTGCAGAGTGTACACGGTCGCTCTCTGCCACAAAATAAACAAGGTATAATGGTCAGTGAAAAAAGACAATAGGTGTCATTACTGTGTACCCCGTGTCACTGGTAAACAATCAATGGCTTTGAAGTTCTTTCATAATCGTGTTAGGGTTTTAAAAATCTTTTTTTTTCAATCAAAATAAAGTAAAATATGAAATTGCAATTGACAAATTAAACTTGTGCATAATGTGAAGATTATTTTGATATCCAACATGGACGCAAAATAATTGAAAGTCGTTTTAATATGTTTAAAAATTACTTTGTTGCAAAGTTTAAGATTAAAAAAAAAATAAACCATATAAAATAAAACTTTAAAAAAATCTGATTTTGGGGGATATAGATAAGTGATAACTTTGTTGTCTTGTCAATTACAAAAATAAATAAATTATTTATTCATTTATGTTATTTATTTATTTATGTCTTTGTAGATATACTTATAAACAGAATAAATAAATAAGATAAATTATTAGTTTATTTATTTATTTTGTATTTTTAAAGACATTTATTTTATCTTATTTTCACTGACCACTTTACCTTGTTTATTTTGTGCCATGTCCAATATGCAGCTCTGCAATCGTCAACAAATAGACTGATTACATTTTACATTGATTAATTTCATGCAGTTAATTATTTTTATTTATTTTTTCAAAGAAAATCATTCAATTCTTAAAAGTAGAATTTTCCAAAATGCAGCATTACCCCTGCTGGTTTTTCCTTCTTTTGTAAACAAAAGTTACAACGTCACTCCAAGTATTTTATGGATTAAACAGGTTTTCACAAAATAAAAAAGTAAATAACACAAGATGAAACACACTCTTTAAGTCCGGTTTAATGGTGGCTTATAGGTCCTAAATGGTATTTTAATTGTTGTCTTTAAGTCACCATTAAGCACCTTTAAGTAACATTTACACCACCATTAAGTTACCATTAAGCCATCTCAAAGTCCTCTATGGGTGCTTAAATGTAGCTTAATGGTGGCTTACAGGTCCTTAATGGTAGCTTTTAGACCGCCATTAAGTCACCATTAAGCTACCATTAAGGTAGAATTACGGGTGCTTAATGTCCCAACTCCATTAAGCTACCGTTAAGCTACCATTAGGGCACCATTAAGCCACCATTACGCAGTTGACAGTTCTGTTTATATGGATGAAAAATTATTATTATAGTGATATGTCATCACAAATTATAAATGTCGAGTTCACACATATCTTGATTTGGTAAAAAAGGAAAAGAACGAAATTCAAAATTAAAAAAAAAAAAAAAAACCACATACGTGGCGCGAACTCATGATCTTTCGATTAGGTGGCATTCATCTTCTTTTTTTTTTCTAATCTTTTGGTGGCATTCATCTTAACCATTAGGCTAACACCGCTCTTGATATTGAATGGAAAATATTAAACATTTATTTTGCACAAAGTTTGTTTTGGACTTATAAAAGTATTTATTTTGTTGAACGTTTCCAAAGTCTTGAATTGTTATATAAATCAAACTATAAACAGTTTTATTTATGGATCTTTCAAAAGGGTTATTTCATATTAATATTTCTAAACCGTTGAGTTCGGCTTTTAAATTGTAATGAATTCTTCGCTCTTTTATTCGAAGATTTATACATGTAAGCATTAAATGATGATTAAAATTAAATTGATTATAGATAAAACACAAAAAAAAATCTTTCCTTGGGAAAGACAGATGATTAAAAAAAATATTCTGCGAATATTAACGGTTATTGTGTCTAAAATTTAGGCCAAGTGACAATCCTCGTTTACGAGTTACCTGGTTATGTTCACAAAAACTTTTTTTTGGAATATCATATTCAACAAAAATTCTTTTTGTATCATAATGGGTATCAAAATATCTGTCCTTTTACAAGGAATCATAATTTCTAATTTGTTATATGCTTGCGTTATATTCAAATTTTGTAAAAATAATTGATCATCAAAATCTGTACGTTGTGTATGTATAGTTTCCTGTAAGTTGACCAGGGACGGTGGACACCTAATTAAGTTC